TAAATTCCTAGGAGTGGAACTCCTGGGTCAAATGGTATTTCTAGTTTTACTTTTTTGAGGAACCTCCATAATGCTTTCCACAATGGTTGAACTAATTTACATTCACACCAGCAGCGTAGGAGGTTCCCCTTTCTCCACAACTTCGCCAACCTTTGTTGTTTGTCTTTTGGATGGTGGCGATCCTTACTGGTGTGAGGTGACATCTCATTGTGGTTTTAATTTCTCTGATGAGTAGCAGTATGGAGCATCTTTTCATGTGTATGTTGGCCATCTGAATTTCTTCTTTGGATAAGTGTCCAGATCCTGTGCCCATTTTTTAATTGGATTATTTGCTTTTTCTTTGTTGAGGTATGCAAGATCTTTACATGTTTTGGATGTTGGTACTTTTCTAATGTTTATTGATATCCATATGGAAAAAGTTGAAATCAGAGCCCTACTTTACTCTCTACACCAAAATCCATTCCACAAGTAGATTGAAGACCTAAGTATGAAAGGCAAAACTATTAAGATTTTAGAATATTGTGTTTTCAAGCTATGTTCCTAGGAGTCTTTGGAAAAAACACGGCTTGTACAGGGAAGGTGACACTGGATTATGAAAATTCTAGGTCTTTCATCCTATTTTGCAAATTTTAAGCAATATTTCTTTAAAAAAATACAGTCCTCATCAGATAAAGCTTGAAAACCAATGTTGTGTGACATAGATTAACTTCTGTTTGTATAGACTTCAACTTCTTTTTTTTGAAAGTAGCATTGGACTTTCTTAAAGGGCATTTTCCCTTGAGAGTCTAAATCCTTTTATGCTAGGGACTGTTTTTTCTTCATTGCTTTTCCATGGTATCTGGAATTGTATGGACTCTATAAAATAAATGCTCGTTAAATGAATTCAAGCCCTGGGAGTGGAGGAAATGTATAAAGAGCAGAGAGGAAGAAAGGTACTTTAAAGAACACTCATATTTAGGGAAAGGAAGAAACTAAGGTATAGGAACTGTTATGAACAGTGTTATAGATACTAAAAAAAAAAGGAAATGCATTTGTTATATTCCAAGAAGATGGTATTATGTCTGGGTGTGTGCCTGGAGGTTATGCTTATGGATTTTGGAGTCAGAGAGCAGGAGTCAGTCACATCCAGGCTTTGTCTCTTACTAGGTCTATGATATTGGGCATGTTACTTAAGTTTTTAAACCTAATATTCACATTTATAAAATGGCAATAATTATATTTAGTGATTAAGAGGTCATTGATGACCTTGAGATTGAGCTTTCAGGATTGTGGGATAAAAGACAGATTATAGGAAAGTTTATTGTATTCTTAAGCCTAAAACACATTGAGAAGTTTAGTAGGAAAGGAACATTGAGACACTGTAAGGAAAAATTTTTATATAGATAAAATACACGTCTTGAGATAATCTTACAGTTATATATATTTTTAAAAGCACATTTTGGGAGTGGTTTCCAAAAGCATAAAAATTCAAAATTGAACTTACCTATTGAAGACATATTCTCAAAATGTTGCTCTATCTTTGTTGGAGAAAACTGAATTGTAAAGACATGCTTTTAAACATGTTTAGCTTTTTATGTTTTAAAGTAGGTTATGAAATTTTGAGTAATGTCTTACATTTGGATTCCAACTTTTCCTAGAAAAATTGCCAAAGTGTAAATTATTTTTGCTAATTCTTTTGACTTCTTGCATATAGAAGACTCTCCTGTAAAAACTACGCTTGCTGCAAAGCTCTCTGCAAAGAAACAGGCATCTGTATACAAAGACGAAAGTGATGATTTTCAGGTAGAGAAGAAAAGAATTCGACCCTTGGAAACTACACAACAGGTAAACAGTTTATTGGCAGTGAAATAATCCCATATTGCTGAACAAGGTAGTCAAGTATCAATCCAGTTTTTAGTGCTATTAGTAGAGATTAGTTGGGTCCTGTCATAGATGTAAATTAAATGGTAAATTATTGCAACTTCATTTTATATAGTTACTCATTACAATGGAGTTTGTTATTATAGTAGATTATTCACAGTAAGATGTCATTAAAGTAAACCTGCCTGGTGCTTTTTTATATATGAGGAGGAATTTGACAGTAAAATATTTATTTAAGGCTTATGTTGATAATCATTGTCTTTTGGTCTTTGATACAAACATTTGTGTCATGGATATTTTTGGTATTGATAGTTTAGTATAATGACAAGGTTTGCTTTTAATATTGAATTTTTAACATCAATACATGATAAAAGATGTTTATTTCTAAATATTATTGGAAGACCTGAATTACAAGATATTTTAGATGAAATGTACTTTTCATAAATGAACACTGTTTTCTCATACAGTTTATGGCAGTGAGATTGGGAGGCTGAGATGTCAATAGATTTAGTTACAAATAAAAAAGATGATTATTAATTAATTTAGCATGTTATTTGTCAATAATTTTTAATTGAGTATACTCAAAAAGTGTTTGGCGGTCTTATGCAGTTGACCTATTCTACTAACAAGCTTTATTAATTTCCATAATCAAACTGGTTTTAGAAACGGAATGAACTAGGTTATTTTTGAAAAGGTACCAGTTACAAATGAAGTGTGAATCTGTAGATTTTTTTTTTCCTCCAGCATGTGTACATAGAGTTGGATGTTATGAGGTAGGTCTCAACATATATTTATTCCCTGATTTCCTTGGCTCTCATTTCCTTTTTTGGTAGGAATGGAATTATCAATAGAAATGCTTTCCCCCCTCCCTTACAATTTAAGTAAATAGATTTTTAGCAAGTAGGAAAAAGCAAAGGCCATTTGGAAAGAAAACAAGTGGTGTTTATGAATGAAATTCAGTCAAATGTAATTTTGATTATCAAATATCTAGTAACAGTAATAATGGTAACCAAGTTATTCTGTCATGTAGGGAATTGTGAATATTTACATTAAAATTTCTATTTTGGGATTTTTTTCAATTTAGAATGAAACTTCCATTTTAATTTACTTTTATTTTCCTATTAGATAGGTAATTGGACTTTGGTATAATAGTGTACTTGGTGTCATGCAGTGGGACTATTTTGTGGAAAGATCATTTTAACAATACTATAGTTTTGACAACATTATTAATTAAAGCTACTTTGGTTTGGATTAGAGAGGTATTACTATATTCTATTTTATTTAAGTCTTTTAATAAGGTGCTATTTGTGTTTTAAAAAATCATTTGTCAGTCATCTTTTTTTATGCTGAAAACACATATTATAGCTATTTTGACCTTTGAGAAGAACTAGCTTGCTCATACTTTTAGTTTACATTGAAATTCATTTTGTTTCTGTGTTTACAGATTAGAAAACGCCATTGTTTTGAAAAGGAGGTACACCCTTCAGAAGCAAAAGTTGCTTCAGGAAAGACCACGGAACTCAACTCTCCATTGGGAAAAATGAATTCCTCTTCTCCACAAAATGTATGTATTTATGCCATTGTTCAGTTTAAAGAAAGAAAATGTAGAATTTGCTAAGTCTAGTTTTGAAAAAAGTGGAAAAATAGTATAATGAAAGGAACAGCAAAAAACAACACAGAAGTCCTAAGAGCTATCACACCTGTGCTACTAATGTGTGAGATGGTAAACCCAACCCATCTTTGTGCCCCAGTTTCCTCATTTATAAAATGAGAGAATTGGACTGGAAAGATATCTGAATGTTTTTTTCCTCTTCTACATTCTAATGTTTGTGCACTTCACTAAAATTCTCTGTGCCCTTAGGGCAACAGTTTTCAAGGAATAGTCCAGGGAGCTCTGGAGACTCCTGAGATTTTTCTGGTGGTCTATGAAATCAGAAATATCTTCATAGTAATATTAGATGTCATTTTTTTTTTTACTATCTTAATATATGCACTGACAGAAAAAGCAATGATAGGTTAAACTGTTGGTGCTTTAGCTCAATCAGAGCAGCGGCACCATCCTGTATTAGTAGTAATTTTCTTCACCATCATTAATGCAGTTTAAAAAGCCAATTTCACTTAGGTATGTCTTTGATGAAGCAGTAAGAATTACTAATTTCATTAAATCTCAGCCCTTGGGATTTTTAACATTCTGTATGAAGAAATGAGCAGTACTCATGAAACACTTTTGCATATAGGAATAGGGTGGTTGGCTTAGGGAAAAAGCACTTTCAGGATAGTTTGAATTATGAGCTGAGCTAGCCACTTTTTTTTATGGAACATCATTTTTACTGTAAAGAATAATGGGCAGACTAACTGGTAATTCTTGAAAGCAAAGTAAGCCTGATAAAATTTGAGCATTGAAGTGAAAATTAGACTTTTGGAAAACAGTATAAGTTCTTGAAAATACTAAGTGGGGAAACAGACTGTTGGTTATCTTCACAGAAGCCTTACATATATGAGAAGTTATTCAGGAGCATTTAATGGTAAATTGTCAATAATAATATATCTTACATATTTGCCTCTGCCAATGTTTTCTCGCTTACCTTGATTTTCCTCATAGACCTTACTATTTGAATTTATTTGTCTACTTGTTTATTACCTTTCTGCCCTGTTAAAATGTAATGTCCAGTTTTTCTCATGTGTATCCCTGGTACTTAGAAAGAGTATATGGCATATATTAGTTACCCAGTGAATACTTGTTAGTAGAATCTTACTGAATTCTTACAATGACTATGGGCAGGTACTATTGTTATTCCCATTTTACAGATAAAAATACTCTGAGAAGTAATTTGCCTAACATCACAAAGCTGACAAATAGGGGAGCTAAATCCTGTGTAAGCAGTCTGATGCTCTGGCAAATGCTCTAACTATTTGTTATATGTGCTTTCCATAATGTCTCTCCACTTACATGTCTTCTTTAGAAAACTGTCTGTGAGATCTTCTGCCCATTTTAAAATCAGATTGCTTGTTCTTTTTCTATTGAATTGTATGAGTTCTTTATATAGTTTGGATGTTAATCCCTTGTTAGACATGATTTCAAATATTTTCTCCCATTTGGTAGGTTGCCTTTTCATTTTGTTGATGGTTTCCTTTGCTGTGCAGAGCCTTTTAGTTTGGTACAGTCCTACTTGTTTATTTTTGCTTTTGTTGCTTTTGCTTTTAGTGTCAGATTCAAAAAAATCATCATTAGGACCTGTGTCAAGGAGCTTAACCATCAAGGTTTTCTTTTAGTTAGGAGTTTTATGATTTCAGATATTATATTCAGGTCTTTAATCCATTTAAGTTATTTTTGTGTATGGTGAGAACATGGTCCAGTTTCACTCTTTTGCATGTTGCTGTCCAGTTTTTCCAATACCATTTATAACATTCCTTAATCCTTTCCGACTAGCTTATTACAAATCACAAAAATATTAAATTCTGAAATAGGTTGTTTCATAAAGAAGTAGAATAAAAATAAATAGCTTCGTTAGATTTAATATTTATTGTATAGCAGCTTTTGGAATTAGTTTATCACCAATCCTTTTGGATGAAGTAAATTTAAAAACGCAGTAATCTAGATCATCTAGACATCTTGAGTAAGGTAAATTGAGGAAGTTGGGCAAATTACATCTCTTTTTAGGACTTGTTCCTATGAATGGGAGGAAAAAGAGTGGGACTAGATTTAATATACCATATATCCCATTTAGCTCTAACACCTCTAAATTCTAAAGATGTTTTTCCTATTTTGATTCTTACAAGATGATATTAGGGAGAACAGTATTTTTTCGAAGAACATTTGCTTGGATTCATAAATTCATTATTTAATTCTCTTATCCCTACAAAGAGATAAAAAAGTTAGAGTCTTCATACAATTAAAATCTGCAGTTATGTTATTTTTTGAAAAACTTTACTTTATGAACTAAATAATAAATTAGTTTAATGATTTGTTTTCCTCTAAATTTGACATCAAAGTCTTTAGGTTTTTCTTTCAAATTTTCTTAGTTTTTATTAAAATCATTGGTTTCCAACCTGTAGATTGAATAGTTCGGTGGTTGTCTTTTTGCTTTCCTACCATTTCTGGTCTCCTCACTGTCTCTTCAAGTCAGAAAGTGGTGTCAGTACCTCCTTTCTTATATGAATTACCTTCCAGTGTCCAGTGCTTGTATGCTTTTCTTAGATCTTTGATTCATTTTTTTCTACTGATAGTTCATATGTTGAAGACCTAGTGGGGCATCAGTCTCCATGTGGTCAAAATGTAGTTAAGAAAAACAGTTTGTTTTAGAAGAAAGTGTTCTCATCCTGATATTTGTTCCACCATTCATAATCATTTTCCCTAGAATTTATTTATATTCTCTTCATCCTTTTAGTAATTCCTCACAATGGTTGAGGTATCTAATAGACACATTCTTATGCTTATTCCTACTTCTCATTTGTTCATTATATAAATGTTAAACATTGTCTATACATTCTTTTTTATTTTGGTATCATTAATCTAAAATTATGTGAGGAACATTATGTTTACTAGATTCCTTCCATCACCAAGTCCCCCCCACAAACCCCATTACAGTCACTGTCTGTCAGCATAGTAAGATGCTATAGAATCACTACTTGTCTTCTCTGTGTTGCACAGCCCTCCCCGTGCCCCCCCACCACATTATACATGCTAATCGTAATACCCCCTTTCTCTTTTCCCCCCCTTATCCCCCCTTTCCCACCAATCCTCCCCAGTCCCTTTCCCTTTGTTGGTCCGTCCTTGGGTTCTGTGAGTCTGGTACTGTTTTGTTCCTTCAGTTTTTGCTTTGCTCTTATACTCCACAGATGAGTGAAATCATTTGGTACTTGTCTTTCTCCGCCTGGCTTACTTCACTGAGCATAATACCCTCTAGGTCCATCCATGTTGTTGCAAATGATAGGACTTGTTTTCTTCTTATGGCTGAACAATATTCTATGTGTATATGTACCACATCTTTATCCATTCCTCTACTGATGGACACTTAGGTTGCTTCCATTTCTTGGCTATTGTAAATAGTACTGTGATAAACATAGGGGTGCATATGTCTTTTTCAAACTGGGCTGCTGCATTCTTAGGGTAAGTTCCTAGGAGTGGAACTCCTGGGTCAAATGGTATTTCTATTTTTAGTTTTTTGAGGAATCTCCATACTGCGTTCCACAATGGTTGAACGAACTTACATTCCCACCAGCAGTGTAGGAGGGTTCCCTGTTCTTCTCAACCTTGCCGACATTTGTTGTTGTTTGTCTTTTGGATGGTGGTGATCCTTACTGATGTGAGGTGATATCTCATTGTGGTTTTAATTTGCATTTCTCTGATGAGTAGCAATGTGGAGCATCTTTTCATGTGTCTGTTGGCCATCTGAATTTCTTCCTTGGAGAAGTGTCTGTTCAGCTCCTCTGACCATTTATTAATTGGATTATTTGCTTTTTGTTTGTTGAGGTGCATGAGCTCTTTATATATTTTGGATGTCTACCCTTTATCAGATCTGTCATTTATGAATATATTGTCCCATACTGTAGGATGCCTTTTTGTTCTATTGGAGGTGTCCTTTCCTGTACAGAAGCTTTTCAGCTTGTTATAGTCGCACTTCTTCATTTTTGCTTTTGTTTTCCTTTCCTGGGGAGATGTGTTCATGAAGAGGTTGCTCATGTTTATGTCCAAGAGATTTTTGCCTATGATTTTTTCTAAGAGTTTTATGGTTTCATGACTTACATTCAGGTCTTTGATACATTTTGAATTTACTTTTGTATATGGGGTTAGACAATGATCCAGTTACATTCTCTTACATGTAGTTGTCCAGTTTTGCCAACACCAGCTGTTGAAGAGGCTGTCATTTCCCCATTATATGTCCATGGCTCCTTTATTATATATTAATTGACGTATATGTTTGGGTTAATGTCTGGAGTCTCTATTCTGTTCTACTGGTCTGTGGGTCTGTTCTTTTGCCGGTACCAAATTGTCTTAATTACTGTGGCTTTGCAGGAGAGCTTGAATTTGGGAAGCAAGATGCCCCCTGCTTTATTCTTCCTTCTCAGGATTGCTTTGGCTATTCGGGGTCTTTTGTGGTTCCATATGAATTTTAAAAGTATTTGTTCCAGTTCGTTGAAGAATGTTGTTGGTATTCTGATAGGCATTGCATTGAATTTGTAGATTGCTTTAGGCAGAATGGCCATTTTGACAATATTAATTCTTCCTAGCCGAGAGCATGAATGAGTTTCCATTTGTTAGTGTCCTCTTTAATTTCTCTTAAGAGTGTCTTATAGTTTTCAGGATATAGGTCTTTTACTTTCTTGGTTAGGTTTATTCCTAGGTATTTTATTCTTTTTGATGCAATTGTGAATGGAATTGTTTTCCTGATTTCTCTTTCTGTTAGTTCATCATTAGTATGTGGAAAGCAGCAGATTTCTGTGTATTAATTTTGTATCCTGCAACTTTGCTGAATTCATATATCAGTTCTAGTAGTTTTGGAATGGAGTCCTTAGGATTTTTTATGTACATTATCATGTCATCTGCAAATAGTGACAGTTTGA